GAGAGGACCAATAACCAAAGTGATGGTATAGCACGATGCTATCACACGAGAGCAAACAGCTGTACAGGAGAATGAGGTCACTTCCTTGTACTCTGATGAAAAGAGCTACTTAGAAGAAAATGCCAGGTTCCATAGAGCATCCATAATGCTACCCACTAATTTAAAAAAAATGGAAGATAAGAATACACATATTCTTACTTGCTTCTATTTGCATAAAGAAACTTGACAAAGTTACAGAAGAAGCTAACAGCGGCCGACTGCGATGGTACAAGAAAGGCTGAGCAGATGAGAAACAGATTTGGAGGGAAGACTTTATTTGCATATATTAAATTTTTTTTTCATTTCTCCCCCAAACAACACATAATTTGCAAAAAGTGATTCACTCCTTTAGCTCCAAAAGCGGTCCCTTATCAAAACGGAAATATTCCACAGAGAAGCTGCCCAGCCCATGGACCTCAATCTTTTTCATGCCTAGGAATCTAGTCCTGAGATTTCTCCCTCCTTTACCTTGGAAACCTCCAAGTGAACCAGCCTCCAGCTTCTTAGAGTGCTGGCTGCTAAGTAGCCCAGTGGTCCCACCTTTCCCCCTCCTCCCACGAATAAGCCACAGCCAGTGGCCGACCCAAGGCCTCAAGGTGGGACAACGTCTGTGGCGTCTCAGACTCGAGCTCCCGCTGGGATCAGGCTGAGGCTAGACTCCAGCCGACCACATCCTTGCCTGGTTTCCTTCTGTTGTAACTTGCATCCTTCACCTCCTTTTTTGGTTTCTCCTGAGCGCCTCCCAGAGTAAATCTCTTATCCTAGATTCCCTGTCTCAGGTTCTGCTCCAAGGAACCCAACCCAAGACATCAACCAAATAAACCCCACGGGTTGACAACAGACCCCTCTCTCCAAAATGAGCCTTAGGAGGCACTTCTGACGAGCACGAGAATTAGTTTCCATGCTAGGTGCGGAACTAACGCTGACCAAAAGCAAAGATATCACTGGATGGGCTTCGTACAGGCTGACAGATGGTTTCCAGTGAGGGATACAAAACATTGACAATAGCTCATCTACCTCCAAGCTCATCCCCTATGGGCTTAAGTTTCCAGGGCTGCCAGCCTGCGAACCAGTGCTCAAAATCATGACCCTGGACACTGCAGCTGGATTCCCTGACGATCCGGCTGAGAGCAGGGTGGGCAAACAGGGTCGGGAGGAGGAGGGGTCAGAAGCGCAGGCGGACGTCAGCCGGTTTTGCCTGCTGTGGTGGAGACTGCAAGCTGTCCTACAACCCGCTCCCCGACTCTGGCCTACAAGAGTGTGTGGCTGAGAAGGCTGCATTTTCCCAGCCCCGGGGAACGTTCTGAAATCCTCACCCTGCAACGGGAGTGGGAAGGACTACGTGCCATATCCAGGCCATCACCTTCAGAGAGTGGGTGTGACCCCCTCCACACCTGCACCAGACTCGGTGCCACCGCGCCCAGGTCCCCTCAGCATCGGCTCTAAGTGCAGAAGGCCGCATGTGGCCAAGCCCTCCAGCTCTGCCTGCTCTGCCTGGCACAGGAAGCGTGCTTGGCTGGTTCAGAGGGCAAGCTGGAAGGGCCCAGAAATAAATGCTCCCAATGCCAGCGCCCTCAACTAAACCCCTAGGCATGGGGAGTTAGCGAACAATGGCTTCCTAGGCCCCTCAAGTCGGGTAACTCTGAGGCAGGTCTGTCCTGTCTGCCAGAAATCCCAGATAAGCCTCCAGTTGTCCGCAGCAGCAACGTCCTAGGTTACAGTCCCTTTACGGGCTGTCTTTCTTTTCCTGTCACACTTCCCAACTGCCCTACAGATGCTTCCTTGGATTGCTTCCTAAGCCACTGACTTCAACTTAAAGTCTTGCCTCGGAATCAGCTCTTGTAGGAACCCAAACCAAGACAATCCTTTTACTGGCTGAAACCCACAGAGATCCAGCTCTGACCACACACAGGGTGACAACATCCCAGGGCATGACACAGCAACAAAAGAAAGAAGTCCAGTCCCTGAATGATGGCCTGGAGGAGAACTCCCCACCAACCCAGAACTGCCACATGAGGAAGAATTAACCTCTCTCTTCTTTAAGCCACACAACATGCTGGAAATCTTTGTTACAGCAGCGGTGCCTTCTCTTCGCTGGTAGACCTGCCCGACATTCATTTCCCCTCTGGTCACAGAGCCCTGCTTTGCTGTTGGGAAGCACCTCCCCACCCCTCCCAGGCCAGAGGTGTAGCCAGTCTGCTCTCTCCAGCCCTGCTTCAGAGGAGACAGGATCACCTGGTTCAGGCCTGGGCCCTGTATCTTCCCCAGCAGTGACTGCCTCGGGACAGGGCGGGAGGTGGGAGGGAGCTGAGAGCCAAATTAGACCAATCAAAGACAAGAAACCTCAGCGTAGCATCTTTGGTAGCAGATAATCCCACCTTCTGCTGGGCTGCTGGCTGCTGCACTGTGGACAGATGTCTACAGCACTGGGTGGCCATCCAGGCCCCACTTGAACCTGCCTGAGAAAGAAGCAACGTGAGGGAGAAACTGGATAAAAGTCAGAAAGATAAACAATGATGACATGATTTAAGCACCTAGATCCAGCCACTCCTGAAGGTGGCACAACCCTAGACTTTACAGCTAATACGTTCTCATTTCCATTAAAGTCATTTTAAACCAAGTTTCTGTCACTTGCAAGCATTTGTCTAATGGAAATCAGACCCCAAAGAGGACATCACATCAGCTAGTTTACAATTCCTTGTGGAAAATAGGCCACAGGCCAGCTGCCCCAGCCAGAGTTATTTAGATTCCCTTATAGGAATGTTCATTTTTGTTGCCTAAATTACCCAGATAGCCGAGGAAAGCAAATCAGCCGCCTTTAGCCTCGCTCTCCTCTGTACTAAGTGCTGAGACACAACGCAGTTTGCCCACGGAGCCAGGGTTGAGCCCTCAGCAATGGCTTCGTCCCAGGAAGTTGCACCGTGCAGCCCCCACAACACCCCACCGTGCCGCTGTGTGTGCCAAGGGCAACCCTGGCCACTGCTGATGCCCCAGTGTGGCCACTGAGACCACGCAGCACTGCAGCATCGGCCCAAACACCCAGAGCTTCAGATGCAGCAGGACAGGACCCACAGCGGCCCCTCAGGCTGCACCCCCCCACCCTCCAGCACTGAGCCTTGCCCTCCAGAGAAGCCGGAGGGGTGAGGACCCCTCAAGGCCTGCTCTAGTCTCACGCTTCCCCCTCGTGTAGTCCACGGTCAACCTGAGGCCGTGTCTTTCCTTTCTGAGGGGAGGGTGGGGACAGAGAGGAAAAAAGGGGTTTTTGACCAGATTCAGGATTCCTGGTCCCCTCCTCCAGCTGCCAGCCCCAGCCACTGACCTCTGCGGTCGCCTCATGTGCCCCTCGGGCACAGGGATGCTGAGCCCCCCGGAGCGCTCCGAGGATTGCTCCAGGTAACGTGGTGCAGCCAAGGGGTGCCTGTCTTGTGCCCAGCAAGTTGTGGACACTTAACAAGGTCTATTTCCTTCCTTTCAAAGGCAGAGAAATGTTAAGTTATAGGATATACCACTTAAGCTGCCTGATCTTGGCATGAGGCCAGGCCCTCGGAGGTGGCGGGGGAGTGGGGAGAAGGAGGGAAAGAAGGTGGGAGGAAAGGAGGGTGAGGGAAGGGGAAAGGGGGGAAGGGGGAGGGGGGAGGAGGGGAGGAGGGGGAGGATGGAAGAAGGGAAGAAAGAAGAAAATGGCCTCATCAACCAAATGCTCCCTCAGACCAAGGTGGCCCAGTCCCAGTGCAAGATCTTCTTGCTCTTCCAGGGTGGAAAGGAACTTGCGGCACTCGGCCCAGGCAGTGCCCAGGGGACAAGGGGCAGCGACGGCCGACGAAGCGCAGCACTGCCTCCTCGCTTCAGGCAGCTCACCGAGCCGGGGTAAATCTCTCCCAGGTCACAGCGCTTCCCTGAGTTCTGGGCCCTCCCCC